AGAGGCCTGGCCCCTTTTGGCATTTGACCCTTCCTGTTCCCTCCTCACAGAGCTTCGTGGGCAGAAGGCAGGCCACAGCCCACTCTCTCCTGAAAGACCCTTTGATAAAACAGGCCAGACTTCTGCATTCTGAGCTCACAAAATGTTAGAAGAAAATGCAGTCCATTCAGTTTCTGTTGCAAAAAGCGGTGCTGTTTGGTAATGGCTCATTTCCCTTTTTGAGTCTCAGCAAAGACTCAGCAAAATTAAAAACAGTTAACACCACCTCAGCAGCTAATGAGCCCCGAGAACAGGTAGGAAGTGTGACCCTGCTCCTGGCAGGGGGCCGCCCTGCACCCCCTGTGACCCCTCCCGCTCCCCATTACAGAACACAGGAGAGGGAGTGAGACCACAGCTCCTTCCAACTTGTCAGCTCCAAGCTGTGGGAGGACGACTTGCCCATCAGGCCTCCCCCTTGCACCCTCCCCTCTCTCCCCTCCCCCGTCTCCTGAATATTTACCGTGGATGGTGGAGGGAGCAGGTGGGAAAGAAGCCGCTGAGGAGTAAAGCCTCTGGATGCCAAACCCCAGGGGGGGCTGGAAGAGAACAGGAGTTTGGCTCTGAAGGTGCAGAGGCTCTGCCCTGGATCTGTGATCACTTTTAGGGAGCGATGATTGAGTGTCCACAATGTATCAGCTCCTCTGAAGCCTTTCCAGTCCTGACAAGGTGGAAGGAGCCAAAGGAGCCCTGGCGCTCTCTCCCTGGGCTGGTGTGAGCTCCTGGAGAGCCCTCATCAGTCTTCTGTGGTCTAGCCAGTGGCTCTTGGCGTGGGATTCCGGGACCGGGGGCATCAGCACCACCTGGGGACTTGTTAAAGAATGCAAATCCCTGTGGCCTACCCCAGACCTGGGGAATCAGAAACCCTGGGGGCAGGTACAGCATCTGCATTTGTCAAGGGCTCCAGGTGAATCTGGGGGTGGGGATGCTGGCATCCTGGAGGCAGGCAGACCTGTGCTTGAAGCTGTGCCCCTTAGCAGCTGGGGGTCTGAGTCTTAGTTCTGGCACCTATAAAATGGGGATACGGGGCACCTGGGTGGCTCAGTGGTTGAGCGGCTGCCTTTGGCTCAGGGCGTGATCCCGGGGACCTGGGATTGAGTCCGCATCGGGCTCCCTGCATGGGGCCTGCTTCTCCCTCTGCCTGTGTCTCTGCCTCTGTGTGTCTCTCATGAATAAATTAAAAAAAAAAAAAAGAACCACTGTTTATTTAAAAAAAAAATAAATAAATAAAGACAGACCCAGAGGCCACGGCTGGAATCCTTATAGGATGGCTCTCACTCCTGTTCATTGAAGTCACCTGCCTCCTGGAGCTGGGGAAGGCCCGACTCCCAGCCCATCTTCATCTCCTCTCTTTATGCTTCCTTGCCCCTTCCTCCCTTCCAACCTTTCCACCTGTCTTTGGTCTTCTTTGCCACCCCCCCCCCCCACAAACTTGTAAAACAATCACTGGGTGAGCAGCACAATCAAGCCACATTCTTGGGGCAGCCCTTCCAAGCAGACTCTGTTGCCCTAACTGTGGCCACACTGGGAGATGCTGGCAGGGGAGGGGCCAGGCGGCTGGCACAGGGGACAAGCCCAGAATCCAGTGACTGAAAGGGACAAGGTCAACGAGTTAGTCCTGACAGGTGAGTCAGGTAACCTGGGAGGGTGGGAAGATACAGTCCTTCCAGAAGCTGGTGATTAGTGCCAATTACACCAGGCTCAGTTCTACAGGTTTTCTATGAGTTTCCACCATCCCACTTACCACACACAACAGCCAGATTATGAGGCTGGAACAACCGTGGCCAATCAGGTTGAACCTACCGCCCCCCACCCCCAGCTGCCCCACCCGTGTGAGGACAAGGAAGCAATGAGGAACGCAAACCTAGGCAACCTAGGCCGGCTGGCTCCAGAGCTCAGAACCACTTTGAGACATGACCAGTGTCTTGGGCATCTGTGTAGCTGGCCACCTGTTGACGATGGAGGCCAGACAGCCGTGGAGGAGGCATCTTTCCCAGCTGAGGCTTAGCAACCAAGTGATGTGGCTGGCCCAGAGGTCACAGTGAGGAGCAGAGTGTGGTCTGGGGTCTTGGATCTCCAGCTTTCCGCCTCACACATCCCGCCCCCAGGTCAGGCGTGTCCAGGCAGGCCAGCAAAGAGCAGGCCTTGGGACTGGAGGTGCTGGGTCCTGGGGGCTGGGCAAGGGGTGGGTATTGAGCATGGGGTGCAATAGACTGTCTGGGCAGCAGCGGAAGGTGAGAGAAAACACGTTTGTCGAGGACCTGCTATATGCTAGGTACTTCTACCTAAAACCCAGGGGCTCATTTCACTCTTTTTTTTTTTTTAATTTATTTATGATAGTCACAGAGAGAGAGAGAGAGAGGCAGAGACACAGGCAGAGGGAGAGGCAGGCTCCATGCACCGGGAGCCCGATATGGGATTCGATCCCGGGTCTCCAGGATCGCGCCCTGGGCCAAAGGCAAGCGCCAAACCGCTGCGCCACTCAGGGATCCCCATCTCACTCTTACAACAGCCCTGAGAGGCTTCTCATTTCAGACACAAGAGGGTATCGGTGGGACTGGGCCAAAGCACCGATGAGGCAGCAGAACCAGAATTCCTGCAGGCGTCTGGGTTCCTTGCAGCCTCTGGCCGACCAGTCCCCCACCAACAGCGCAGGCCTGCAGCTCCCTCCCACTGGCAGGCAAGGGCAGGAACTGTCCTCAGGGGGGTACACAGGGCCAGCGCATCAGCTGGCTAGAGTCTTGTGAGGACAGGAGAGTGTCACCATCTCGGTCCCTCTCCCTTGGGGTCACGCACACGGCAGCGTGAAGTTGAGGTCATCTGCCAGGCTGAGGCTGGGTGCCGTGCCCTTGGGTCAGCCCGCTACATGCTCCACTGATCCTGGTGCAGCCCAGCCTACGTGGGCTGGGTGTGTGTGTGTGTGTGTGACTGGGTGTGCTGGCTTGGCTCAGTGGCACAGGACAGTCACATTCCAGAACTTATCATCCCTTTTACAGATGAGGAAGTGAGGGTCTGAAGGAGATGTGACTCACAGAGCCAGTGCCTGGTGGGGCTGGGAGCAAGGCTTCCTGACTCTCAAACTACATCCTGTGTCCTACAATCCTGTGTCCAAAGATGGGCCCAGCATCCCATGCTGGGGTGACCTCGGCAGCAGAGGCTGATGCGGTGGAAGACTGGGTGTGGGGACCAGGAGGGCAGGGACCGGGGACTGGACTGGACCGGGCAAGGCAGCCCAAGATCTTGTGCCGGGGCCCAGTCCAGTGGGAGGCTGGTCAGCTGCACTGGTCAGGTCGGTCAGGCCAGGCCCCATGTTCTGGGTAATACTTCTACTTGGCACAACACTCCCTCCAGGCTGTGGAGTGAGGGGAGACAGGTATCAAGAACTGAGGAGGAAGTCAAGGTTCAATGAGGGGAGCAAGAGGCAGGGTGGGTGAGGACTTGTGCATTTAGGGAGAACTGGATTTGATTCTTGTCCAGGCCATGGGGTAGCTGAGTGACCTTAGGTAAGTTACTTAACCTTTCTGAGCCTCATTGTGTTCATCTACGGACGAGGAAATAATTGGGGTAAAGCACCTGGCATAGGACAGTACCAGGCCAGGGTCCTGGGCAGCTGACGGAAAGGCTGCCCTAAACCCTGGGTTTGAGGCCAGCTGACTACTCCCAGCTGTTGTGAGGCCCAAATTCCTTCTGGAATCCCACCAGGGTCAAAACTGAACTGGGAAGTGAGCCAACCTCAGCCGTGGGTGGAGGGCACCAATGACTCAGGTCCCTGGCCCTGACAATGCTGCCGCCAAGGAAGTGATGACGCTAAACAGATACTAGATGCTTTGCTCAGAAAGCCCACAAAGATAAGCCTGGGCTGTACCTTTAACAAAGAATAAAATCTCTCAGCTGATTTTTGGTCCTCTCTCTTCTACTTGGAGTTCTCTAAAAAAGCATTACGTGGTCTCAGAAGCCGGGGTGTCATGCACTGACGTCCTGCCACATCATGTCCAAGCTGATTAGGGGCCCCCGAATCTTCTCTAGGGAGCACTGGGCCGAAGACAGCAGAATGAAGAGTCTTTGCTAATAACATCCCCTCTTATAGGAACGTCCCCTGCTTTCTTAGAAGCGCTAGTTGAAGAGTCAGCTCATGGGGCTGCCTCTGGCTTTCTTTGTTGAATACGAGGAGGAAAATGAAGGTAGGTATGGTCTGGAAAGGACAGAAGGGCAGGCACTAGAAACTGACATTTGGGATTAAATCGGAGACTATTAGGCAAAGCCAGCTTCTTGGGGACTCCCCCACCCTCACACTGAAAAATACCCTTCTCTTCAGCAAGTTCTGTTCACTCCCCCAAGCATGTGAGCTAGTTCCACAAGGCTGCTGGGGTCACGTGAGACTAACCCCATGGGCCAGTACAGCGCCTTGGGAACAACGGTGTCCACACCACTGTCTGCCCTTCTGCCGGGAGATGCATTTTCACTTTCCTTCCTCCCTCCCCAGGAATGATCCTTTGTGAAATGCTCATGACGGTGAGCAACAAAAAACACTGAGCAAAAAAGTCTGGATAACTCCCACTGGCCAAGCAGCAGACGCCTCCTCCCCCAGGAAGCTGGCATGCTTCCCCTGCACCCCTACCCCCACCCAGCTCCCCAGGGCTGCATCCTCACAGCTGGCCACCCTCCTGCCCCCTCACCCCACACTCACTTCAGATCATTTCACTAACAGGGACACTTTACTTCTGAAAACCATCTCCCTTCAACAGAACACCCAAGGCCCCCATTACTTCTTTCTCTGTGTGCTCTGGGGTGGTTCTCATCTCCAAGCTCAGCGATGGCTGTTTTCCTTTAAAATAGATATGCCGCCCATTTGTAAAACACCTAGGGTTGTGATGAGTCCCCACCCAGACCACTGCCCCAAATGATCACCAGCATTAAAGTCGGTGAAAAAAAAACAAAAAACAAAAAACAAAAAAGCCAAGGGAGAGATTTCGGGCTCCCGCAAGGGGAGGGGGAGATGGGAGATTTATTTTTAGTTAAAAAAAAAATTTTTTCCCCTAGATATCAAGTCTCAGAAAACCTTTCGAGGGTGTCTTTTCTAATTCTCTGGCTGAAGAGTGGGAGTGTGTACTAGCCTGAGACGGTGGGGAACATAAGCTGCTCCCACCGGGTGGATTACTGGCTGCTTCCCAGTCTAATCGGCTGTCTGCAGGACACTGGGGTGCCCGAGCTCTTCAGAGAAGGGGAGGCTTGATTTACGGCTCTCGGAGTTGCTGCTTCGTGGGGGCAAGCTCCGTTCTGCACAACTTTCAAGAGAGAACTCCTGGTCTGATCCAGTTCCCTTCTCTCTGATTCCCAAGCCTGCCTGCTCCCCCAAGGAACAGCCCTGCAGAAGCCTTCAAGGAACCCGAAGAAGCGTAAATTACTACTCATGTCAGACAACTGTGGTGGCCACACAACCTGAGGGTCGCCTTTTGAAACCACAGAATACACGGCTCTCCAGGACAGACCAGAACAAAGCCACACCCGGTACCGCTGGCCGAAGCTGCAGAGCCGTGCTGCTGTGAGTGAGAAAAAATCCACGAGAGCGAGAGTCTGATCATCCCTTTCGGGTGTCAGTCTGGCCTCCACCTCTCTGTCTGCTCCTTGGCTGTGGTTCAGCCAACAGAGGCTTCCAGGAGGTGGGAGAGAGGGAAGGATGAAGGGAATATCCTCCCATGGGTCTCAGCAGGCTGGTTATGCCCCCTGCCCCTCGCCCTGGCTACGGGGAGAATGGCCTTACTCATTCTGAGATATAAAGCCTAACTCTTTAGGATTCCTATACCCACCCTTCAAAGATCCTCATATTATCCAATTTGACTATGCTGTTTCCTACCAAGACCCTAATACAGCCACCAACTAGGCTTTCATTAAATGTCCCGTATTCATTACACCCTTGAACCAATGTGCCTGACATATCATAAACATGGGACATTAAAAGACCCTACCCCGACACAAGCCATGGACCACTTGAAGGATCCCTGTTTGAAAACCCAGGCCTGACACCCTCAGTCTCTAGAATAGGGGAGGTTTCTGGAGCCCAAGTTTAAGGAGTGAAGGATTCCTAGATTCCTGTCTTTCTGGGGTCCCCTGTCTGGTTGGCGGGTACTCTCTCACCGACAGAGCGGAGATCCACACAGCCTTGGGTTTTAGGCCTAAGATCTGGCCATTCCAGAGGATTTCCTTTTTTTTTTTTTTCTTTTTAAGAAGGCTCCATGCCCAGTGCAAAGCCCAATGCGGGGCCTGAACTCATGACCCTGAGATCAAGACCTGAGCTGAAATCAAGAGTCTGACACTTAACCAACTGACCCCCCCATCAGGTGCCCCTCCAGGGGATTTCCATTCCAGGGGAACCTCCTTGGACAGGGAGGGCTGGGAATTATCACATCTTGCTGTCCGCCGGAGGGGGAAAGGCTGGGAGAGACAAAGGGCCTGTGGTCGGGTTTTGGCACCAGCCTCCTACCAGCTCCGAGTCCACACTGGCGACAAAGTTCAGAAGAAGCTATAAAATAAGGTGGAATGTAACCAGCAGCGAGAAAAGTGATCAGCATGCCCACTGTCCACCGTGCGACTGTGCCCCATTTGGATGTCTTTCGATCTCCTTCAAAGGTCTCAGAGAGTTCTGTAAAGTGTCTGGAACATGTGCCCGGCATGGCTGCCAGCTCCCCAGCTCTGCCCTGCACTGAGCTCAGCGGCAGCTCTTCTGGCGCGCTGCCTGGCCCTCCCGGCCCTTGCTTCCCGTCTCACCAACGCTCTTCAGCGTCTGTTGCACAGCGCTGAAGTCCTTGCCATCACCCCGTCCTAGATGAGGTGCACGAGCAGGGCGGAGCAGGCCGAGCCAAGTACCAAGCCCAAGCACACATAGAAGGACATCACCACCCCCGTGGCCTCGGCCAGCTCCCGGGGCACGATCTTCGGCCCATACATAAGAGCCAGGGTGCTGAGGTAGCCATTGCTAAGTCCCAGCAATGAGGTGAAAAGCACCGGGTAGAGGTCGGACTGGAAGACCACCGTGTGCAGGTGGATGCGGGGCTGGTAGTTGCAGAATATGAAGAGGGGGAGGAGACAGGTCCGGAGGAGCACAAGGCCGGGAAGGACCTTACTCCTGGGCCCCGGCACCTGAATCCAGGCTGTGACCTGCCGGCCACACAGGTCAGCAAAGTTGAACAGGAGGAAGGTGGTGAGGGGGATGAAGAACTTGGTGGTCCACAGTGAGCCCGAGCCCTTGTCGACAGACTCGATGTTGGTGGAGATGGCGGGGAAGACAAGGCTGGTGATGAAGAAGAGGTAGAGGATGCAGAAGCCCAGGCCGGCTGTCCTCTTCAGGATGGGCCAGAGGGGTGGGGTCGAGGACTCGCTGGATCCAGGGGCTGCCAGAGGGGCACTGGGGGAGTCCTGTGGCGGCTGCTCCTCCCCAGAAAACACGTGGGCCGGCCAAACAGGCCTCAGGTAGAACCTGCAGGGGGAGAGGCTCATGGGAGGAAGGCCTGGGGAAGCAGGGTCCCCTGGGATTTCAGGGGACCTACAGGCCCGGGGCAGAAAGCCTCAGGATGCCCTGGGACACACGTGTCGGGGTGGCCAGAGGGAGGCCCGTACAGTCCCTGGCCTGCCCGCCCTAGTGTTGCCCAAAAGGCTGGTAACCGAGCCACGCACAAGCCGGGACAGAGGGAAACAGCACTCACTACCTCGTGATGAGCATTGCTTTGTTTTGCACTGGGGAAGGGGTGGAGATAAAACAGCATTTTAAAATATGCATTTTTAAAATTATAAAATTAACACATGCTTGATGTAATGAACCCAAAATGCAGAAGGAAAATGGTAGAGTAGAACGAGAACGGCCACCTCTGGTTTCACTCTTTAGAGGTCCCGATGGTTAAAAATCTAGTGTCAGGTAGGGCAGCCCGGGTGGCTCAGCGGTTTAGCACTGCCTTCAGCCCAGGGCATGATCCTGGAGACCCGGGATCAAGTCCCACGTCAGGCTCCCTGCAGGGAGCCTGCTTTTGCCTCTGCCTGTGTCTCTGTCTCTCTCTCTCTGTGTCTCTCATGAGTAAATAAATAAAATCTTTTTAAAAAAAAATCTAATGTCTCTTGCTCCATCTGTGTGCAAACATCTGCAACCACCCTCCCCCTGCACATACTTCCTAGTTCTGTTTCTTAAGCAAAAGTGGGATTAAACTATATACATTGTAAAACTTTCTACAACAGGACAATTCCTATGTATATTAGTAAATATATATATATATATATATGTTACTTTATATATATGTTAGCAACTATATAAGCAAAATATATCAGCACCTTACATAACAGCCCAAATAACGTGCATACCATACATCCACACGTGCACCTAATCACATCTAGAACAATATCTTGTGGCCAAACTTCAGCATGGAGATACTTGACTCGATGCCTCTCTGTTGGGTAGCTCAAGATATTTCACTCTATGCATATACAATTTAACTGCTCCCCTACTGATGGACATTTAGGTTAGTTCCAACTCCTCTCTACTACAAATAATGGTGTGATGAATAGTCCTACACATACAACTCTGCACATGCATGTTAGTATTTCAGTAGAGCAGATTTCTAGAGGAGGGACTTCTGGATCAAAAGGTTTATACCTTTTTAAAAATTTTGAGACATCAGTACACTTCCCTCCAAATAGAACCAATTTATCTCTGCTTTGTACCACTCACCTACTCCATCTACGGTCTCTACAGGGTCACCAGTTTCTTTAAAAACACTGACCACAATTTATAACCACTGGGTTAGTTTACCGGTTTATCATCTGGCTCCTTCAATAGAAGACAGCTCCCTGTTTCCTGTTTGTTAAGGACCATGTTTGCCTGTTTTTAGCTAACTCTCCAAGTACAGAGTAACCTTCAAAACATACTTGGAACTAATAAGCCTATAAAGGCATCTCCGCCTCTCCCCACCCCCATTGCCTAAACACTGAATATTATCAGTATTTTCAATCAGTATTTTCAATTTCTGCTACTCTGATCAGAGTAGAAGACCCTTGGGTCGCTTGGCCTCGCCGTCTTGCTGTAGGACCTTGCCTGAGTCACTCAACCTCTCTGGGCCTCAGATGCTGAAAGCCAGGAGACATAGGCTGACTGCATGATCCCACCTCAAACACAAGGCTTGGTGTGTGGTCTGGAGAACAGTAGCGTGGTGATGGCTGGGTTCTGGAGTCAGCCCCCCTTCTGTCTCCCCATGGGGGAGACCGTAGGCCAGGCACAGCCCTCTATGGGCTCACTTTCCTCCTCTGTAAGATGGAGGGGTGCTGCAGCTGCAAGCTTCTGGGCCCCCCGCCAGGCCGCCCATCCTAAGTGCCTATGGGTCACAGGCAAGTCAGTGGGATGGTTCCTCCCATCACTTTTCCATGTGATGCTGAGCTGGGCACTGCAACCTTGAACTCTGTCTCGTTGCACAACCACTATTTAGGGAAAGGAGTATTCTTACTTCCTCCTCTACTCAGCGGCAGGTCCTAGCCTTAAGTCAGCTCTGAGGGAGCTCCTCCCCAAGTTCCTCTGGTCAAAGCTCTTCCTCATTAGGTTCCACATGTCCCCCAGCCAGCAGCCTCCCACACTGCCTGTGGCTCTGTTCCTCCTGAGGACAGCACCTGTGGGCTCCCTTTTAACTACCATTTAGCCTGAGCAGCTCCAGGAGCCTGGCTGTCTCCAAAGCTCCATCCTCAGATGCGTTTCTGTAAACCTGGAAGTCTTAACCAAAGTTTTAATCAGCAAAGAGAGAGAAGCTTCTTTGGGAAGCTTATGGGACAGCCTAGCCCTTGGGTGTTCCTGGTTTCACAGGCTCAGTTGGAAAGGATGCTGGCCTGCTCAAGTGAGACTGGAATCTTGGGTGGCCAATTGTCACTGCTTGCTGAGCCTGTCCTAGTGTTAGTACCAAAAGCCCCTCCTCCTGGGAAGTCCTGGGTTCCAGGCAAACAGGGAAAGTTGGCCGCCCCACTGAGCAGCACCGTGAAACAGGACATGGGGAAACAGAAGAAGGAGTGCTGGGACCCTCCTGCCTTCTGTCCATTCTGTGACTCAACAATAAATTAATCAGCAACGACGAAGTGTGAGGCAGTGTGTGTCATGTTGGGGGCAGTGAGCTACCCAGACGCCAGGGATCACAGGGATGTCATCATGCAGTGTAACTGGGTACTTTCTCTGGGGAAGGCAGGGGGATCTGCAGGGTCACCCAGGAGACTCTCCCAGGGACAGAAGGAGAGATGACCAAAGACCCTGGCAGTCACAAGCTGGGGATGCAGCAGGACATGGTGCAAAAGGCACAGTCCTGGTCTGAGGCTCACCAGGTGAGCAGCCTGTGCACAAGGCTTGGTTTCCTCATCTATAAAACAGGGAAGGGCTGTAACAAGTGCATGCAGTGGTCACACATAAGAAGTGAAGAAAAGACACGCAGGCGCATGCCACTTATCTTGGCACCGCCACCAACATGGGTCCCCATGGAAAAGCACAGAGCTAGGACTTGGGCCTCCTCTGCTCCACCAGCTTGCACACTGTGCAGCCACCAGCTGGCCCCCTGCCCTCCTTTGGCTCAGTTTCTTCACCCATAGAATGGGGAAGAGAATTCCTACCTCTCCTATATCAAATACAATAATAGATCAGAAAATGGCTGGAAAAGAATAGAATGTGAGAAAAAGTTAAAGGCTGTTTTTTAAAAAGCAGCAAGAAGAAAGAAAAAGGGATGAGAGAGAAAAAGAGAGAGAGAGAGAGAGAGAGAGATTGAAGTCCCCCAGGGTGGAGAGGGGCCTGGGAGGACAGTGGGTAAAGCGCAGCTCTGGAGTCAGGGGGACATCCTGCTTCTGCTGCCCATGGGCTGGGGGACTCAGGCAAAGTCATTCACCCTCTCGGAGCCCAGCTGGGCTTCTCACAGGGAACAGGTGCTTGAGTCCCCCGATGCGAGACAGCCCCTCAGGCCGAGCTGAGCATAGTGCAGAAGCAGCAGAGGCGCTCAGCGAATGGAGCTATTCTTTACCATCCCTACTCCTTGGACCCACTCCCACAGCCTGGCCTCCCCGTCCCCAAACGGGGACAGCAGACTCCAGCTGCTCGGGGTGGGGCGCCGCACAAGGCCGGCTGCTGGCATCCACCGGCCTGGCCAACTCCCGGAGCGGCTACTGCGAGCCAGCTAGAGCCCGGGGCTCCGGGCTGCAGCCGTGACCAAAACCCGCACCATTCCTGCCCAGCGGGGGGTGGAGGGGGTGCACAGTAAGCGAGAAAACAAACAGGCCACCCGACTAGGACAAAGCAAGCAGAGAGCATAAGGCAAGGTGGCGTAAGGGCAGCTGGGAGAAGGCGCTGGGAGTGAGGGGAGGCCCACCTGGCGTACTCCAGCCGTGGCAGCAGCAGGTAGAGCCCGACGCAGAGCCCGAGGAAGACGTCTGCGGTCAGGAAGAAGGCCAGGGTGCTGTCCGTCACGTCGCTGGACGCCGCCAGGTCCACCAGCAGGGCCACGGCACTGATGGTGCCCCCCATGGCTCCTCCTGCAGAGAGCACAGGATGCCACGGAGATGGGTGGGTGGGGGTCCACCTTCCTGCATCTCGGGGTCCCCTCCCCTTCCTCCCAGCTCTGATGGAACTGAGATAAAAGGTCTCCCCACCGACAAAGATGCTGTAGCTGTCACGGGGTCCTGACGCCTTGGCAGACACGGAGGGATTGGGCTGCCGTGAGCTTGGACTCCAAGAGGGTATCAGGGGTCTCATCCCAGGTTCCTGCTGATGGGCTTGTAAGAGTTGCTGCCTGAGGTGGCAAAGGCCCCCCAACATTTCACCTCCGACCTGGGACCTTCCATCTCGCTTTACCGCCCTTCTGGTGGGGTCAGAGCCGGATGTGTCAGAGAGCTCCCGTCCTCAGCCCAGCCACCCACCAACCAAACTGGGTCAGAGGTTCAGGGAACGTTCTAGGATGGATCCTGCCACTGCCCTAAGCAACACTGTCCCCAAACCCCCTGTGCCGCCCACCGTGAGCTCGTGGAACTGAGCTTGTACCCTGTGGGAGGTGTGGCACTATAACGTTCTCTCTTGCCTTTGAGTGGGACCCACGTGACCACGTGCCACCACCATTCACTGCTACCAACAGAGGAGGTGGCACAACTTAGTGGACCCCTGGGTCCAGGACCCAGACAGACGCACATCTGACCCTGGACTTTGCTGCTTGTTTGCTGTGACTTGAGGGCTTACATGACTCCGCAGAGCCACAGTTTGCTCATCTGTAAAATGGGGCTGACAAGCCCTGCCTTGCATAGCTGCTTTGAGGACTGAATGAGATGATGTTCGGAAAGAGCCCAACACCTAGTAGGCCTCCACAAGTGCCAGTCGCCTTCTTTGCCACCATCATGCAGTCACTTCTGGGAGGCAGGGGACAGGCCTTACTTTTCTGTTGAACTACTCACAACTTGTGCTGGGCAAGACCCAGAGGCAGACACATTGTGCGTGCCCCCAGGTCATTCACTCTCTGCCTCTATTTGCCTGCAAAATGGGGCTAGTACTTGTCCTCTGCATCGGCTGAGGCCTGTGGGTATGCTGCACTGCCTGCCTGAGTGAATGAGTTCGCCCACGTTAGAGGATCAGGATACGGATTCTCAAGGAGGCGAGAAGGTAGCTGGCTGCAGACAGAAAACAACACACAGGTCTGTGCAGGCAGGGACTGGTCTGTCACATACACGGCTCTGACCGCGTGGCACTGTCCTGCCTGTTGTTGCACAGAGCAGCGGAAAGGGGCACGGTTTAGGGCTGTGGCTCTGCAGGGAACAGCCGGTTGCCCTGATGGCCAATCCTTTCTCCCTAACCTCCACAGAAGCCTTATCAGCCTGGGTGGGGCCAGAGTGATGTGAAAGGACGGCAAAGAGACACAAGTTAGCACAGTGAGGAAGAGCGCAGACCCTGGAACCAGAGCATCTGAGTCTAATCCTGCTTCTACCATTCCTGGCTATGCAGCCTTTGGCAAGTCACTGAACCTCTCTGTACCTCCACGTCCTCACCTGTAAAATGGGGATGTTAGTAATACTCAGGTTAAAGGGCTCTTATGAAGATAAAAAGGATTATTACACAGACCGGGTTCAGAACGGTGCCCGGCACGAAGTGCGTATAAATCCTCTAAGATTCCCAGTTAGGTGTTTGAGTATTTCTGTCCTTCCTACATCAAAGCAGCAACAACAAGGTCAACCCCTTGCCAAGAGGGTACCAGCTTCCGAGAAGCTGTAATCCCCACCTGGGTGTTTTGTAAGAATTGGAGCTAAACTTGAGTAAGACACTTGCCGGCTGCCCTGAGGAAGAGATCTTAACATCACTGCCTATTCATTTCCCCCTCTCTCCCCAACTTGTAGGGAATTTACAATATTATCATCAACAACAAACCAGGCCTCCGGGAGCTCATCTTTCATGACTCCCTACTTTTATCTCATCAGTTATGGAAATACATGCAAATGAGGGGGGTTAAGAAAACACCAGCACAAAACAAATGAATCGTTCCTTGGATGCCAACAGGCACAGAATTCACAGATGGGCTCCTCTGGACGAGATGCCACGGGGGTTGTTGGTGGTGTCGGTGGGGCCTCTGGGAGATGGGGCCACCTTGGATTTCCCAGGGTGAGGGGCACCCGATGGGGGCGCCTGTAGAGTGAGGACACCGGCTTAGGTGTCAGTACTGGTAATCAATACTGAAGTGTGAGCGCTGGATTATTCCACTTTTTCAAAAATAGACTTTCTGAAAATTTCACAGGACAGTCCCCTCATTGAGAAGATTCATAGGTGACCAGATGAACCTGAAGGGCCCCCTGCCAGCATAAATGGCATGTCCAGTCACTGGCTCCTAGACAGGTAGCCAGCAAGGCATTTATAATGAAAAATACATCCTCCGGCAGGATGGAGGGAACTTCTTTCTGAGACTCAGGTGCCAGAAGACATGAAATCCAGTGTTCCGGGGCCATTTCCCTCAGGCTAGGCATGTCCTTCTCGAAGCACTGCTAGGGGCATATTGATTGTACTCAAGGAAGTTGGCAATGGGTCTCCTTTTATTTTACTTTAGATCCGAGGATTTCCCTGGATAGAGCCAGAAGCCTAATGTTATGCCAAAAATGGCACTCAGACTTGACTGACATCTGAACTCTGATCTGGAGATGGGACCACCTCCAGGCCTGAGTTGAGAAGGGATCAGAGGCTCAGGAGGCAAGACAGGGATCTGTTAGTGATGTCTGGCACTGGTGTGGGCGTGGGGAGGAGACACACATGTGTCCAGGCACTTGTCATTCCTGCCACATACTGCCTGGCATCAGCAATTAATGGACACAGAGCAGAGATTCTCTGTGAAACTCTTCTCAAGTGGGCAGATGCTTACAGCAGTCCTTCACACAACAGGGACGTGCCCAGACACCAAACCAAGTGGCCAAATCCCCAGCCTTGCATTAAGGGATGGTGGTCTTCTGCAAAAGCACAGATTCTTACTGACCCACCTCCTTTTTTATCTTGTTGGGACATCAGAGCGAGGGAACAGAGTTGCTAAGGCCTGGACAACAGGCTTGGGATCAGCATCAAACTCCACTCAGCCAAAGGGGCTGGTCCAAGTCGTGCATCTGCATCCCCAGAGAATGCCAAAGTTCAAGGTCATGGAGGTGTTTATTTGTTAGGCTATCAGCTCCTGAGAGGCTGGGTCTTGTTCATCTTTGAATCTCTGGCACATAGTAGGTCTTCTATAAAATGAGAAAGGAAGAAAAGGGGGTGAAGCTAAGAGGAAGGAGAAGGAAAGAGAAGAGAGGGGACAGGAGGAGGCGAGGGGACAAGGAAGAAGGGAGGAAAGGAACGCTCTTTCAGGAGTTGTACTTGGTAGGTAGGTGTGTTTGCCAAAAGTGGCCGCAACTGGCTTCCCTCCCACCTGCTCTTCTTACAGGATGACTTTCGCGTTCTCCGGCTGATGCCTGTGGGGTCTGTGTCCTCTCCCCTCCAATCCACGTGGGCTCGTGGCTATGGTCGATGTGGCCCTAAATGGCTTCCACAGCTAAGCCATGAAAGGAAATAATGTTTCTGCCTGGGTCTCCCGGGATGCTCCCGGGGTGACCCAGGCACCATGCCTCGGGGAAGCCCATGCAGCCTGCTGAGGCCCCGGGAGAGAGGAGCTCTGGCCCCAGCCCCAGCCTGGCTGAGTTTCTTAGAAGTGGGTCCTCTGGGCCTGTCGAGCTATATGGGCTGATGCTGTGTGGAGCAGAGAGAGAGTGGTCCCTGCCAACTCCTACCCAGATTGCAGATTTGTGAGCCAAAGAAATGACTGCCATTGTTTGAAGCCACGAAGTTGTGGGGTGCTTTGTTACCCAATAATAGAGAGTGGAAACACAGCTAATCCTCATCGCCTTTTCGGGAAGGGTCATTGCGTGCTCACCTCTGGCTCTTCCGCATGACCCCCTGGTGGACTCACCTGGCCGGCTGTCTGGAGCCCGGCTCTCACCTGATATCAGCGCCTGGGCATTCCTCATGGGGAAGGAGCCAGTCATGCCAAAGACACTGCTACTGAAGATGGTGGAGGTGCCACTGAGGATCGCCATGCAGACAATGGTGACAGCAAAGAAGCCGTAGGCCCAGGAGGAGGTGTCCACCTTCACCAGCACGGTCATCACCAAGAAGATGGCCAGCATGATGGTCAGCGAAGCCAGCACTCGGACATGAATCGGAACCCTGGGGTGGGGATGCCAGAAATGATCAGAGATCCCCTTGGGCCTCCCATGCCAGGCCAGGCTTGGTGAAGCTTCCTAAGGGACACTGTGCAGCCAGGAGGCCTGAGCCTGAATCCTGCCTTCCTGGCTAATGAGGTCCTGGCTAAGGGACCTGTGGCCTGCGACTCAATTGCTCTGGTTTCAGCTTCTGCATCTGTCTATCAGGGAGGAGAATGGATCCACCTGAAGGGGTGGTTGTGCGCGTCTCCAGAGGGGAGTGTGCAGAGTGCAGGGGGCACAGCAGCTCAGGGCAAATGTTCTGTGGATACTGCTTCTTTTCATGTTGCTGTGAGATTCAAGGACAGGACGTAAGGGCTCCTGAGGTGAGCCCCTGCTCCCTCACCACACCGCTGAGCTCCCACTGGCTTTGTCTAGTGTTTCAACACAGCAACCACCCTCTGAGCTTCCTCTTCCCAAACTGAGCAGGGAGGGCAGGAGGAAAAAGGACAGAAAATCATCATCCTTGGGATACAGCAATCACCCAGAGTACTTAATTTGTGCCAAGTACTCTTCGGAATGTTTCTGCATGCTGACTTGTTGAATTCTCCCACCAGCCCCGTAAGACAGGCCCTCTTCCCTATCCTGTACCTACAGGGAGGGAAACCGAGGCCAGAGATGCTAAAGAACTAGCTCAAGGTCACTCACGGTGACCCTCGAGAGGACGAGCTCCAGTCTGTGCTCTCAGAATGACACTCTGCTGCCTCCCAGGAAGGAAGGAAATATGGGTGGTCCAGAACAGGTGGCCAGGGCACAAGAGTTCTCCTGTGACCATCTCAGCTGTCATGCGCAGCAGCTGCTGCCAAGCTAGTGCAGCCCGGGGCAGGACCCCAGCCCCACACCCACATCGTACACCACACGCTCCTCCCGGCCCCCAACTGCCCAGGCACTGCCTTGAAGGGAGAAGCAGGGAAGGCTGGCTCTCTGAGAAGCTGCACATTTTTATTCCAGGGAGAGAGAATATCATCGAAAGGGGCTGTTTAAATCATCAGATTAGACTAAGCTTTAAGCCGGATTGGATGTTTGGTTAAATTTCCTGCTAACCAGTGGGTGGGGGCTGGGAGAAAAGCCAGATTAGTTTTACAAACACACACACAAATTTTTTGATAAAAAAGAAAAGACCTGAAAGGTAAAAAAAAAAAAAATGTATATATATGTACATAAATAGGTGTGAAATCATGAGCGCACAAGGAGCAAGGATTTTTCAAAGTGCTTTTGCGGCTCCAGGCTAACTTGAGTTTTCTCTGATCTTTGTTCAGATCCTCACTGGAGGGAGAGCAGGTGCTGCCTCCCCTTTGTAAGGGGCAAAGGGAAGCCCGAGGATGTGAAGAGGCAGTTCAAGGTCGTGGTGTGAGTCTGTGGGGAGCGGGCGTGAGCACTCCGGTCTGCGGAGCCTTGGCCCAGCGTGGCCGCCAACCTGCATCCTCTCTGGTGGGTCTGTTTCACAAATGTGTACCAGGCAACTACCATGCGGCAGATGCTCTGCTGGATGACCCGGACAGCAGACACACAAGGGCCAGGCATCTTGCATTAGCTCCATCGGGAGTGCTCCATCGGGAGGGCCACAGGGCATCCTGGGTACACCCAGGGGTACAAAACCCAATCTGGGTATTGCACAATCTTTTTGGAGGTGGTGCCCAGGCTGGAGGGTAAGGTGTATTGGAATGTGTGTGCACATGTCTGGAGAAGCAGAGCCCTATCCTGGGGGGGGTCTTATCCCCCAGATAAGTGCCAAGGCTCAATCCTCAGAGTAGGGTGTAGAGCGGGCATGCAGGCTTTGTCTGCCAGCATCCCTTCCCCAAAGAACACTCCTTCGTCCATGCCAAGTGGTTTTGGAGAGGTGGCAGGCCATACTGTCCACACTGACCCAGCCCCAAATGATGGACACATGATAACTGGGTCTGGGGTGACTGCAGTGTCTCATGCCATGGGTTGCTGCATTAGATTAGAGGCTGGCATGTGAGTCAGGCAGGGCCAGGGCCAGTCACTGCCCTCCAGAAGTGACAGGTGGAGAGAAGTTCACTGTCTGCCATGAGTGTTGGGGGCTGCTGGTTGCCACCTGGCCAACTACACAGAGAGAGACCACATTTGGAATGAAGCCAAGCAGACACACACAGAGCCCAGGGACAGTGCAAGAGAAGGACAGCTCTGGGGACATAGGCGATCCCCTAGATCCAGCAATGTGTGGAGGCAGACCTAACTTTAATTTTCTAGGTGAAGAATGAGAAAACGCTTTGTGTGTCTCCATTGTTTGTTACCAAGAGTGCCAGCTGACACAAAGAGGCACCTCGAGGTTTCTAGCTAGGGAGCCACATGGTCAGGAACTGCACTGCCTTGCTGCAGGTGACCCGCCCATGTGCCCTCCCTCTACAACACACTGCAATGACAGGTAATTAACAGAGCAGCCTTCAACTGATGATGGGGGAGTGGGCGGATAAATACCCCAGCTCCCTCCCCGCAGGTCTGTATTCCACACTTGGTCCCAGAGTCCCCAGACAGGTCAAGCTGGGTCTGTCTCTCTGTGGGAGCTGCTTTGGTGAGGCATGCTTTATTGGCTGCCTTCCAATCACATCCCCCTTCTCCGTTCTCCCGCCTTCACCTCCCAAGTCAACTGCTTGCACTTAAATCCTGTTCCAGGGGCTGTTTCTGGGGGAATGCCAGACTAAGATGCATCTCCTAGGGGCTGCAGGGACCTCATCCTGGGCAGGAGCTGGTGGGCACCCGGACCACTGGGGGCCCAGAGTATCTACCGTAAGTGCACACCAGGTGCCCTGGGGGCTGGTAGTCAGGCCTACCTGTGATGCTCGGGGTGGTTCTATCCACTCAGCCGTGTCACAGTGTGCCCCCCCACCCTCTCCCAGCAGCTGCCCCAATACCTCAAAGATAAAAGCCAGCAAGGGCACAGAGCCTGGGTCAAGATAATGTTCCTGTTTATAATTGTAAATATCATGACAATCAAGTGGAGAGAGAGAGAGGCTGGGTATGGGGACCGATGCCAAAAAGTGTTACCAGCTCCTTGGGGCAAGACAAAGCCCAGGGCAGACTGGGAGACATGAGGAGTGCAGCCAGGGAAGTGTCTTCTTCCCCTGCCCCAGGGCGGGCACAGGGCCTGGGAGGCACCTGGTGAGTATCTGCTGGATACAAACTGACCGGCAAGGGCTATTAGTGCAGGGAGGCTCTCATGCTGGGCCTAATTCCCAGTCACTCTCTGCTTCTTGACGACCCCCTGCCCCCCACCCTGCTAGCAAGGCAGGGAAACCACTGGAAACACCTGCAGCGTTTGCAGCCAGCCTCTAACCACCTCCTCCCAGCCCCTGGTGAAGATGGAAGTCCGCCCCAGGAATGCTGATGGCATCACAAGAGCTCTCTGGTGCTTGTCACAACAAGGTAATTAGTTGCCCTATAGGAAGGTTGCTTCGGAGAGAGCTGGGGGTGGAGACTTCTCACCCAGCACCCTCAGGACGGGCAGTGGAGGGCAGAGTGGGAAGTGAGGAGGTAAAAGCCGAAGGCGGGACAGGAGCAATGCAGTCCCCAGCTCTGCTGTGCTGCCCCCCACAGGTCCCTTACCTGCACAGGCCTCTTCCTTGCCTGTAAATTACCTGCTACATGACCCATTCTCCACCTGAGTCTCATCCCTGGGCCCCAGACCCCCAGAGATCTTGCCTGGGGCTATCTTCAATGCCCATAAAGCTCTATGAAATGTGCTGCATGAAGCCCACCCCACATGCAGTAACGGGGGCACGCTGGCATCACTCTGCTTCCTCCATCTGGGCCAGGAGAGTGGTCCAGGGGGCAACGATGCTGTTAGGATTGCAGAGAAAGTCTAGATGAGGGCTGCCCTGGTGTCAGTGGTTCTACTCTGGGCCAGGGGATGGCCGAGATGACTGCTGCAGCCCCGGGACTCTGGGGCAGGCCACAATAATGTGAGATTCTGGGAGATGACTGCAGCTCCCCACCCCCTTGCTCATGAGGGCTCAGGACCCCAGGGAACTGATTTCTTCATAAGTCTCTCAAATGTAAATCCTCCTCATAAGTATTTATGATGCTACAGATTTAACATAATAAAACACTTGGAGATTATGGATGAGCCAGTCAGAGAAAGCCAGGGTTCTCCAGGAGGGGAAAAAAAAGGAGACATTTCAATCTCACACATTAAATAAAAAACAGCTTAGCCCCAAACCATCTTCCCACAACCCAGAAACAGACGGAGGCTTGCAAGCATCCCCCACGTTGCCTTCACCCCTCTCCTATAGGCAACAGAGAGTAAGGGGAGGCTGGCAGGGGGTTGGACCTTCTGGACGATGCCCTATAATGCTGAACCTTCAAAGCCAGCAACCTGCCTGACCCAGGGAGGGCGGATGTCCAGGCGGTCCACTGCCCCCACTGCAGACAGACCTAGACCTTCTTTACCATCTCCTTCCTTCTAGCTGCCTGGAAGCCAGGGCAGAGCCCTCCCAGAAGACCCTAAGGTGTGGCTATGGTTGCAAGTGACCTGTCTAGAGGTTCCAAGTACAAGTGTGAGATGAGAAGGGTCCCCATTCCCATCCGACTTCACCCTGTTAGTGGCTATGGGACCTCCATGAGCCTATCTGTAAAACGAGATAACAAGTTTGCTGCTCTCCGGCTGTTGTGAGGATTAAAGGAGACAATGCTCTAGGGGGAGCGAGCACTCAGAAGTGCTAACCTCGTGTCCTGTGGGTAGACCTTCCCTGCCACGCCTGATCCCTGTCCCAGACTGGCTTCTGGCCTGCTGGATCTCATGACCACAGGGGAGGCACACCACCAGCCTGGACTGCCCCTCACTGGTTCTGTGGTCTTGGGTGTAGCTCCTAACCTCTGCCTGGAAAGTGGCTAATGTCATAGCTTCCCTCTCAGGTTACTGTGTGTCACCAGGGATCACCTTTCATTACAGTTCAGACAATGATTCCAGATCTAGAAGGGGGTGAGGGCTCTCATCTATAGGAGCCTGGGCTCTATTCTCGCTAAACAAACCCGTATCCCTAGGGCCAGCCAGGTGAGTGGACAGAGAGGATCATGAGAGAGCCCTGGAAAGGATGAGTAGTGAGAGACCAAGGAGCTTGCCACCACCATGGCTGTCACCCCCTTTTCTTCATCATCCTCCCCTTGTGTCCCCTTCCCTTCTTCCTGCCTTTTCTCCTGCAGCTCTTCCCTCCAGGGACTGGCAGTGCTACGAGAACACTTGGCCCTGCTCTGAGTTCCATTCCTCTGCTCAGTCCTCCTCGGGGGAGGGGGTTGTCCTCTGGAGGCTGCACCCCATCTCTGAGAACACTGAGCATAGTCCTCTGTGCCAGGGGAAGGCACGAGGAGGCAGGTTAAGGGTCAACTGGTTTATGATTGGGGTTGCCAGGCCCTCAGGCCATCTGCACCCCATCCTGCTTTTCACACGCTGGTTTTAAAATGGGTGCAAATTCTTTGACTCTCCTTCCATTGACAGGCAGGTCTATGTCCCCTTGAAAGCAGGTGGGCTTGGTGAGCGCTTGACCTGCTGAGTACGGCATAAGTGACACCATGTGGCTGCAGAGACTAAGTCACAAAACCCATGTAGCTCCTGCCTTGCTCTCTTGGAGCATTTGCTCTCCAGCCACAACACGACATGTCCTACTACCTGAGGCCAACGTGGGAGAGCCTATGGGGGGGGAGGGGAGAAGAGAGGAGAAGGAGACAGGTGCCTGAGGGGACCCAGCAGCTTCCAGCCCGGTTGTCTGCTAGCACATAAGGGACACCACGCCAGAGCTGCCAACTGATGTGGCCCAGATCACGACAGACGCTAATTACGGTTGGTGTTTTACACCACTATGCTTTGGGATCATTTGAACACAACGACAGATAACTTCAACAGCCCCAGAGCATAACACGTTTGGAAGGACAGGTCTATTGAGGCTTAGCACACGTGAGGCCCGTGTGCCACCCTCTCCCCTCCTAGGCTCAGAGCAGGGCCAGGCCAATCAATCGCAGCAGCACACTCCCCGAGGCCACACCCCCTCGGAATCCTGTTCAACCAGAGACCCAGGCCGGCACTACAGTTAGCAGAGTTGGGTAAGACTGATTTGCCATCAGGGACCTAAGCTTTCAGGCGGCTGTGCCCAGAGAAGCCCAGGTTCCTGGTGGCAGCTTAGGGGAAATCTGGGCAAAGCAGCTAGGGCTGTTGCTCCTGCAAAGCTCAGCTGAGAACGGACAGTAACAGTCCCCGAGTGGGGTCTCAGGGTCATGCTCGCTCGCCTGGCTGTCCCCCACATCATTGCTTCTTCCACAGTGCAGTCAAGGGACTCCCTCCCAGCTCGCCTCTAACACAGCATCAGAAAGGTCCCCACTGAGCCTCTGTGAGCGGTTCCCACATGAGCCGGTGGCCCATTCCCACAGAGTGGAAGCCAAAATCATGAGGTGCCAGGCTTTTAACTTCCAACTGCTCTCAGGAACGCTTGGGGGGGTGCCTGGGTGGCTCAGTCGGTTAGGCGTCTGACTCTTGATTTCAGCTCAGGTCAAGATCTCAGGGTCATTGGATGGAGCCCTGAGTCGGGCTCTGTGCTGGGGGTGGAGTATGCTTGTCTCTTTCCTTCTGCTCCTCCCCCTGGTTCTCCCCACCCCCAACTCTATAATAAATAATTTTTTTAATTTTTTATTTATTATTTAGGATAGTCCACACACACAGAGAGAGAGAGAGAGAGAGAGAGAGAGGCAGAGACATAGGCAGAGGGAGAAGCAGGCTCCATGCACTGGGAGCCCGACGTGGGATTCGATCCCGGGTCTCCAGAATCGCGCCCTGGGCCAAAGGCAGGCGCTAAACCGCTGCGCCACCCAGGGATCCCTATAATAAATAATTTTTAAAGATATTTAAAAAAAAAGAAAGAAATGCTTGGAAGACCCGCCTCCACAGGCCCTGCCCCCCCGCGCCTGCCCACCCATCCACATGCTGGCATCTGGCCACACCTTCGACAGCCCAGGCAGCTGGTGACAGACAGGCTCCCAAGATGGGAAAGGAGGAAGAGCTGGGTCCCCACATGCCTCCTGCTGGCTGCTGACAGCATCCTAGCCTGTGTCTGGGAAGCGAAAGTCCAGCTCCCTGGCCGGGCTCCCACCGGGAAGGGCCCCAGGTGGCAGGTCTGACTTTTCAGCCTTTGCTGCCTGCCTCCCACTTGGGTGCCTGCCCTTAGAGCATGAAGAAAAGCAGCAGCCAAGAAGGAGAGGCGAGTGGAGATGGCTGGAGGGAAGGCACGGGGCCTGGCCCAGAAAGGAACGTGGCCTACCTGTTGACGAGCAGGAAGTTCGCCATGAGGCACAGCACGGAGGAGACGGTGGAGGCAACAGTCAGGTAGCTCTCAAAGTAGTTCTGCAAGCACAGAAGTGAGGGGGCTGCTGATGTCACTGGGGACAGCCGGGAGGCCCCCCTCGAGAGCAGAGACAGGGCACTTCCCGGGGGTCTTCAGAAACCTATGAGTGATGGATGATAGGTCTACCCCAAGATGGCATGGTCCCACCCCATCATGACCCAAGACCACTTAGTCACTGAACCGACACTAATACAAGCTGTGTGAAGTGCTAGGGACATAAGTTAGGATAAGATGCTCTCCCCACCCCAGGGAGGCTGCCTGCGGCTCTGCAGCCCGTGCTCCCACCTATTCTATCTGTCCTACCCACAGAGAGCCAACGGGGACAGGACTCAGCCGCGAGCATGTGCACACAGAACAATTGTGCCCTACCAGCCTTCTTTGCCTACCACCCAATTTCAATTATCCAAATGCATTTTGTTAGGTCCCAACCACATTCTCACATTCTTGCAACCAAGGGAGGCCTCTTAGCAATCCACCAACCCTGATCCCCACAGGGTCGAAACTTTGTGCCGACTCTGGATTCGCCCCCTCAATAGAGATGCTACCCAAAGTCAAAGCCACTTTGGGAAATGGCTCCTAGACTGGCCAAGAGGACGAAAAGGGGGCATTTTTCTGGAAGCAGTAGTAGGGTTTTCTAGACAAAGCATGCATGAGACCACACGATAAGGAGCTCCTAATTACAACGTGCTAGAACTTATAGCTAAAGATGCTGTATGGCAACTGTACATGGCTCTCAAAACTCAGAGAACTGCCCACTCCTTAGGGTAGATTTTACCATGTATTCGTTGTTCCTCGTGTATCTTTTTTTTTTTTTTTTTTAGATTTTTAAAAATTTATTTCTTCATGACAGACACAGAGAGAAAGACAGAGACACAGAGGCAGAGGGAGAAGCAGGCTCCATGCAGGGAGCCCGATGTGGGACTCGATCCCAGGACCTCGGGATCACACCCTGAGCTAAAGGCAGACGCTCAACCACTGAGCCACTCAGGTGCCCCTCAATATACCTGTCTTAAAAAAATCAGAAAGGGCTGATGACATAACTTGGCTTTGGTCATTGTATGTCAAGCCATGAACCCCAGCTTGGTGATGATCACGGGTTCTACGCTGTGAAAACAGATCAAGTGTATTAAGCATTTCCTGCGTGCCAAATACAAGGGCTTTGTATTAAGTATATTGTTTCCTCTGAAAAATAAAAAAGGAGCTGTGAGCATTTGACTCTGGAAAGCTCACAAAATTGGACTTAACTGAGGCAATATTTTGAGTCACAAATGTGCCAAGTGCAAGGGACAATGTGTGGAAAAAAAAAACCCTCACAAATGTGCAGAGAACTGTGGCCGTTGTAGGGATCGCTACAGAGAATGAGACAGGCTTCCTGCCTGCTAAGAAGGAAGCATCCCACTGGGAGTGTAAGATAGAGTGTGAAGGCATTTTCATCTCAAAACACCACAGGAAAAGATGTAAGAATTCTGTGGGTTGGTTCCCCCCCCCCCAAATCAGAGGTAGGAGTGGTGAGTTCTAGAAGGGGTTCTGGGTGGGTTCTGGGTGGAGGAGTGGGACCAGGGCAGGCGGACCTCGTGAGAGAACGGGAAGGAGTAGGGGTTTGGGGAAAGGTCCCAGAGGAGGTAGGGCCTGAGTGAGAGCTTGAAACGGAGGGTCAGCTCTGTCCTTTCTGGGAGAGTCTGATTGCGACATGGAGCCCGAGAGAAAGATATCAGAGTGAGCTCCTTCTGGCCTGACAATGATTGTTCCACGCTCCCTTTCCAAGCCTGCACGGTGCTTCGTGGTCTTTGAAATCTGCACCCTGAATAGGAGGTGGTGGTGGTCTTGCAATTAAAATGGTAATCACAGCGAATGCGGTCCATCAACCATGAGCCTTGGAAATAGGCTTCCTCCTTTGAGATGCCACCTCATTGTTCCTGCCCTGATGGGCTCAGTAGAGCCTGGACAGGACGGAGGCACTCAGTCAATTACGTCCTGACACAGTGGCTGAGCCGACGTGAGGCCAGGCAGGCGGCAGGCGGGAGCCAGGGAGAAAGGCCCCGAGGGAGAGACAGCCGCAGGTGGGGGCCAACCTGGACGTCCCCAGACCCAAGCCCCCTGAAGGGGTTCCCTTCACTCTGTGGCTGCTCATTCCGTGACACATCTCCGAACGCCCATCGCATGGGATGCAGGATCTCCTGTCTTTGTTTCTTCGAGCAGGCTCAGGTTCCCTGAACATTTTAGGAATGGGGATTTTCTATGTTCTGGTTTGTTGATATTTAAGCGGATAATAAGCCTTTTAATGTTGGAAAGCATTTTAAATATTGACAACCGAGTAAGGCCCTGATTCGCTTTCTGTTGATGGAGCCCATTCTCTAGGCTTTACCAAGAGCACGCAGGAGGGGCGGAATGGACTGGACCCCAGGCTGTTTTTCTATTGGTACAGATGGGGGGGAGCTGTGAGTGGCTGCGTAGGCTGACTCAGCACACCCCGTGGAGCTCTTCTTTCTTTCTTTCTTTCTTTCTTTCTTTCTTTCTTTCTTTCTTTCTTTCTTTCTTCTCTTTCTTCTCATTATTTTTTTAATTTAGTTCCTGATATACACATGTGGAGGAGTTTTACTTATTGTAAGCAGAGTTCTAGCAAAATGTGGTGGGCAGACTCCCTAGGTGGCCCCCATGGTCCCGGCCTCCTGTGCTCATGCCGTGGTATGTGAGCCCCTCTGCTAAGTGTGGGTGGGAACCTGTGACTTGCTTCTAACCAAAAGAATACAGCAAAGGGATGGACAGACACGGTTATGCATACAGGATAACATCACATGAGATGGAAGCACCTGTCCTACTGGACTCTTTTTTTTTTTCCTTTCTCCCTTGATAGGTCAGAGGATCCAAGTGGCCATGCTGGGGAACCTCCAAGTGGCAAGAACTGCAGGTGACCTCCTAGTTGCTCAGAGAGGTTTCTGGCCAACACCCAGCAAGAAACAGAAGCTCTCCATCCTATGACTGTAAGGAATTGGATTCTCTCTCTCTCTCTTTTTTAAATAACTTTTATTTATTCATGAGACACAGAGAGAGTGAGGCAGAGACATAGGCAGAGGGAGAAGCAGGTTCCCCACAGGGAGCCCAATGTGGGACTTGATCCCAGGACCCTGGGATCACAACCTGAGCCAAAGGCAAACACTCAACCGCTAAGCCACCCAGGTGCCCCAAGGAATTGGATTTGCCAACAGCCCAAGTAAGCCTGGAGATGATCCTTCTCCAACCGAGCCTCGGGTGAGACTGCAGCCCCAGCTAAGCCCTTGGGCCAAGGATTCCATCAAGCAGTGCCCAGACTCCTGGCCCACAGGGCCTATGAGATAATAAATGTGTTGTTTTAAGCCACTGAAGTTTGCAGTATCTTGTTATGCAGCAATGTGTTCCTAATGAACGAGGGCTTTGGAGAGCTGAGTTTCCTACTATTCAGAGTTTTTCTGAATATTGCTGCCTTCTTGTTGTAGTTTAAATTTAGTTTCTTGATGAAAATAGGAATAGCTGACCGTGATCTTTGCCAGACACAAAGACCAATATATCTGCCTGTGAGGGCAACAAAGGTTATGCTTGTGGACATCGGTCCCCTTGGCCTTTCTGCATCAAATCCTTTGCTGAAATTAGGCTCATTTTTGCAAGTGGCATGTGTGATTCCAAGAAATAGGACTTAGCTTACATGCCACCCCACATCTGCTCACCTTGCCTGCCCCTTGGGCTGTCTGCCCTACTACTCAGTCCCACGGTCATAAAGCCACTGCCACTGCTGCCCCCAGAGAAGGAGCTGACCGCTAAGGAGAGATGCCTGTGCCTGTACACTGCCCGGCCTGCCCCTGAGAAGCACTGGTTCCTGTTCCGGGGATGACGGTGGGAGGGGTCTGGGGACACTCTGAAGTAGGGTGGTGGGGGGAGGAGGGAGGAAGCCCTATGAGGCTTTGACCGAGAGGCAGGAAATGGGAAGGAGACAAGAGATAAACTTCTTGATTTTCTTTTCCCCAAACCGACTGGTCTAACATGTGGTGGCCTCTTGTGGCTTCTCTGGATTCATGCTGGGTGCCTGAGCAACCAGCTGTGTTTTGTTATCAGGCCATGTTTGCTCTTTCCCATCCCCGCCTCACTTCCCTTTTTCCTCACTCTTTCTTCCCTAGGACCGTGCACCCTGAGATGGCATTCACACAAGACAGGTGGCCTCGGGCTCCTTCCTGGAAGGCCCTACCTTCCATCCTGGATTATGCCCTTTGCAGACCTGCAGCTGGCATTTCCTTCCTGGGTTCATCTTGTTCACCCGCAAGGGATGTTGGGGCCACTGTCTCCTATTTTACTCCAGGAAATGTAAAAACCTTTGAATATTGGTTCAAACACATTGGTAACAGTCCTGCCTCCTCCAAAGGAATCTGTCCTCTCCATCCCACAGGGTGATCTTACGTCATGAGATGTTTGGGGATAATTCACGACATAGTTCACCTGCACTTGGGGCTGATTCCTAGGAGTAACCTCAAAAGTCTCTGTTGTTATTTATCACACCAGGTGCCCCACCACATGATTGATGAACGTGGCTTCCACCTCCAGAGGTGAACCCAAAGACTGCAAAGCCAGCGCCAGCCACGTAGGAGTGGAGGGATGAGGAGAGCGCCGGGGCAGTGGCACTGGGCCACCTCAGGTGACAGCAGAGGCTGGGCTTTGCACACCCAGAGTGAACACCAATCCTGAAACTGTGATATGAAGGAAGCCCCGCACAGTTGTGCAACATGGCAGCCCTGTGTATACAGTCCATGGAAAACCAAGTCTTGCTTGTATGTGTAACGGGGGTCGGTTTAGGCCTCACGTTCTTACAGATAAGAGACTGCGTGATTCAGCAAGAAGGTAGGGCCACAACATGACTGGGAGCAGCAAGGCAGGACATCACGAGATGATGGGGCCTCCCTGAGCAGGGTTCTCTGCCTCAGCAGTCGGGAGACCCTGAAGCTGGTAATCCCACGGCCCTCAGCCCGGCTGGAGG